GAAAGGGAGTGAAAAAGTTTAAGTAACTTGTCCCAACTTACCACAGTAAAGACGTACCTCACACCTTTTCAGTTTAAAGAGCATGTATATCGATATTCAAACATTATTCACTAACAAAGATCTGCATTATTATAGAGATGTACTAGTACTCTCTCTTTCTTTCAATTCATAAAATACTTTTTTTAAAAAAAAAATTTGATGTTATAAAATATAAAACGCTTTATAAAATTAATATTTTATTAATAATACTATTTTGATATTGTCCTTTCTCATATATCATCTTTTTTTTAAATAATTTTTTACAAATGACCTATATTATATTTTTATTTTAAAAATGTAAAACTATATAATATATTTAATAAATTTTATTAGTATAAAAATATCTTATAAATTAAAAGGGAAATATAGTGAAATAAAACTCATATTTTTATAGGATAAATGTCAACCGCATTAAACACTGCTGCCTCCAATCTCCTTATAATATAAACGAGTCTTTTTCTGAACCTAAGTGCAAGAAACAACTTCCCGTCTCGTGTGTGGTGTGTCCACTAAAATTTTCCTTTTACATTTTTAATAATTTAGCATCATTAATACACAGTCACCATGTATTAAACAATCAATATGAACATTCTTTAAATGAAATCACTCCCGTTGTCTTTATATATGGGATATTTTTAATTAAATTATAAAATTAATACAATTAGTTTAGTTATCTATTTAAAAAACACAGTAACATTTTAGTTTTGTATCTAATTATTATAAATAAAAAATAAATTTATTTTTTAAAAATAAATTAATGAAAGCACTAATTTTTTCCTTTTCAATGTAACAAGGATATAATGATTTATTTATTAAAAAATATGCTGACAATTTATTATATTTAGAGATAAAAGAAGATTCTAAACACCTCTTGTATAAATACGGATGGAGGGAGTAGTTTCAAACATATCTATTTATTTTAAGGAAAAATGACAAAAAAATTTCACCAGAATAGATAGATATATATATATATGATAATTGAATCTGTCAAAATGTCATAATTTCTCTGAAGTTTTTAGGTATATTTTTTGACATTAATAATTTTAAATTAATTGAAAAATTATCCATTTTTTAAAATAATAAAAAAATAACTTGCTCATATGAAAAGTTGTGATTTTTTATTTAATTTTTATGATTCACAGATTAAAATTTGTGATTACTTAAATAAAAATTGTAATTAGTTATTTTCAGACATTGGACTTTAATGATAAAATAAATTTCATGTGAGAAGTTATAGTTTCTTATTTAATTTTTACAATTTATAATAAAAGTTGTGATTAGTTATTTTCAAAACTTAAACTTCTTTATAAAAGAAATTTTACATAAAAAGTTGTAATTTTTTATTTAATTTTTATAATTTACAGAATCAAAGTTGTAATTGCTTAAGTAAAAATTATGATTAGAATTAATTTTAAAATTGGTTTATCAATCATGAAGAAATTTTATATAAAAATTATAATTTTTTATTTAATTTTTACAATTTACATAACGAAAGTTATTATTGTTAAAATAAAAATTGTGATTAAAAATGAAGCCAATTCATTATTTTTATTTTAAAAAAATAATTTAAAATTATTAATGTCAGATCTAAAAAATTTAAAAAAATTATGAGAATTTGAAAAATCTGATTATTATATTAATATTTTATTGAGATTTTCCTATATTTTAACTGTATTCTCTGGTCCGTGATAAGGTGTTATATATATGCGTGCAGCAAGGTTTATGCTTTGTCTAATGGAGACTTCTTTTCCCACAAACATCACTAATGTCAACCCGACTTGATATTTGTTTGACACCGAAAATCTACTTTAATATTTTATTATTAGATAATTAGACGAACTCGTTCAGCTGCTGGATTAATAATTCTTATCACAGTTTAATTAACATTAATCCATGATAACTTATCAAATATAAAATCTACAACACTCTCACTCTTTACAAGTTATCTATTGTATTACTCATTTTTCAACTGAATATCTGAGGAGCTAGTTCGCATATCATACCCATAGACAAAACATTTTTTATACACGAAATTACAAATCATAAAAAATCGCTCCCTCGAACTCCATCTCCAACTCCATGTATCATGTAACCGAAAGGACTATATATCTAGTTAATATAAAAAATAATGAACATTATATATTTAAAATAAAACAAAAATTTCACATCCGTTTCTACAAATTTTTCTACAGAAAATTTTACGTTCTCGATTCTCCTCAAGTGATAATTAAATAATTTAAAAATCATAAAACTGTATATCATCATTCTATATTGTAAAATACATCATTCCCACTATTGATCTACAGTAGGAGTACTTATTATTTTTTATACTTTTAGAGATTATTATGCAGGGCTCGCAATAGTATATGTTTTATAGTGAAAAAATAATGGCAAATATGAGATCTATAATAAAAATAATAGGTATGAAATTCTATCATTTGGTACTTTATATTTTATATGTATAAGATAATAATGTAAAAAGTATTTATCTGGCCATAAATTTATAGTGGGATGAAATATCATATAGCACTTGTAATAAAAATAGGTGCAAGACTCATAATGTAAAATTGATATGAATATGAGACTTATAGAAAAAATAATAGGTGTTGGATCTATAATTTTTACCTTATATTTTTATATGAATAAAATAATAAATCGTAGAATAAAATATAAAGTAAACAAAAATGATAAGTTTATTTAAATTTTAATTTCTGTGGGAATACACAAAATAAAAATTTTTAAATAAAATAATTTGTTGCTTTCTTCATATGCGTAAGACAATAAATTATAAAATATACTCTCTCCATTCAAAATATAATAAGGTATTTTGACCAAATCTCACATCTATTTTCAAATAACTATATCTTTTCATATTTACTCCTATTTAATAAGGTATTTTATCTTAAAATAAATATAAAATAATTTATTAATTAGGGATATTTTTTTTAAAAAGGCAATAATTATATTTTGAAAGGCTAAAAATATTTTTATATTTTTTAACATTTAACTCCTCAAAAAATATTTTATTTTTAAATTGAGGAAATAATGCTTTATTGTTTAAATTTAAATTTATGCAAAGGTGGTGCATCACGAAATAATTTTTTTTATATTTTTAATATACATCGGGTAAAGAATTTTTTATACATAGATTTTAATATACACGGAGTATATATGTTATTCATGTTTTAATATATACATAGAAAATGTATAAAATAAAACAATTTATTTTTAAAATTAATGAAATAATAAAAATTATTCTTTATATTTTTAATATGCACAAGAAAATAAATATTTGACATATAGATTTTTAATAACACAGTTCCATATGTTATTTATGCTATCAACATATACATGGAAAAAATTATAAAATAAAAAAATTTATTTTTTAATTTTAATTTTAAATTATGTGAGAATAATACGGTCAAGGATGAGAATTTATTTATATTTGATATATGTACAACGTAACATTATAAAATAAGTTGGGTTGAGGTAAGATAAGTTGATGTTTATGACTAATTTAGTTTATGTATTTTTTAATTTTGGCTATAATTATGATTTATAAATATTGTTATGACATAAATTATAGTATATAGTTTATTATAGTGCATTTTTATTTTTCCTAGAGCGATGAATGGGCCAACATGTTCTAAAAGAAATTAAGATAATTTATTTAATTTGAAAGAGATGAGGAATTAAAACATTGTTTATATTTTTTATTATGCATGAGAGTAACACATAATAAATAAGAAGTTGTTACTTAGATTTTTAATTTATAAGAGCAACAATAATAGATCTAATAGTATTTATTGAGTGATAAATTATATTCTCCAATTAATTATGTGAGGACGAGTAAAAAATTAAATTATATGGGGCAGAACTTAATAGTAAAATTATTTTTAATTAATTTTCAAAATTTCTCTCGTATTGATTAAAAGAAGAGCACAAGAATAGAAAATTGGCATATATTTATCCTAGGGACAATTCATTTAAAATAAAATAATTTATTATTAATATCTTTAATATGTATATAAAAATAAAATAATTTTTCATTTACATTTATTTTAAAAAAAAAAAAATTCAATTCTAATTCTAATTTCTAAGTAGACTGAAATAATTTTTTTTATATTTTAATTTTATTTTTACCTTTTAAATATTAAATATTTCATGCATCGCATGAGGAATAAATATAGTTATAAAATAAATTATACAAGTCCATAAATTTTTTATTCATATAAGAAATTTCATAAATTTTTTATTTTAATTAAAATTAAAAAAATTATTTTTTAAAAAAGCTTATCATCATATCATTTAAATTAACGCAAAAAATTTTTTTGGAAATTAAACAAAAAGTAAGTTAAATTTTGTTGAACTTAATTTGCGTTACTTCTATTTAAAATTATTTATATAATTTTAACAAAAATAAGAAGAAATTTACATAATTTACTCATAGGACTAAAAATTTCTATAAACTTAAAAGTAGCAATACAGTCTTTATGAAATATTTAGAAGAACTATAAATAACATAAAATCTAATGTACGAGTAAATGTTCTTCACCAGCAGTGAAAATTTTTTTCACTCTATTGACGAAGGATTAAAAAGAAAAAATCTAGCCTCATTATCGTGTGTTTACTCATTACTTTCGAGTCTTAAGCACCTCTAAAGATTGTTGTTTTTTGAATTAGAAGGATTTATCAGCAGGATCGAGCACGCGATTACAAGGCCATTCCATGAAGATGACTGTTAGTTTACTTTTTCTGTTTTTTTTTCCCCGTTTCGTTATAGTTTTGTTGCTTTTTCTATCAAAAAAGAAAGATTGAGAGAGAGAGACGCAAGAATGAGAGGATTTTACAGGGTAGTGAAATATGGATGAGAACTTAAAACCAAAAAATATACATATATAAATAGATAAGAAGTAGATTGATGTATGTAACCATAAAGCACATGCAAGCCATATAAGTGGGTCAGAGTATGACGGTATTGATTTGAAAAGCAGAAAGATAGAAAAACAGAAAAGAAGGAATGAAGAATGATTAACATGAAGAGCTTCGTCTGTTGAGTTGTTCTCGTTTGCTGGCAAACACTTCTCCATATGTCATCATCCAAAACCTTTCAATCTCCTCAGCTTTTCGTCCTGGAATCCTCCCAGCTATCAGGCCCCACCTGCATTTCACACAACACAGGCATTCATTAATGCACGCACATGCTCACAACAATTAATGTTGTTTTATGTTTTCCGAATATTTCAGATTCATTAATGGCTGCTTCAAAGTTCAACAGCTTTATAGATGCAGATATATTGTTATACAAGACCACAATGCATGTTGACATTCATCACACATTGTAGCTCAAAAGTTTCAGCAAAAGGATATTGATTGATTTTGAAGCAAGATTTAACTACCTGTCTCCAACAAGTCGGTGCATTCTGTGAATTAGATCTTCTTCTTGATCTGACATGTTAATGAACTCCCATTCAATGCTACTCACTCACCTCTGCCAACAACGACCTCATAATAATCAGTAAAGATGGAAATTTTGGCATGTCAAAGTTTTATTTTTCTTTCCAGAAACTTGAGAAATTAAAAAATTATGTTTGATCATGAGATTCAGGTAACAGGAACGGTACCCACTAGGACACAAACAGGAAGAAAACAAAAGAATATAGAAAATTGTCAAAAGAAGTTAAGAAAGTATATATCAGAACCATAGCTTGCATGCAAAACCTCTCATAAGACTTGAATCAAACAGCCACCGAAGTGAAGGATGGAGAGACCAGTGAGAGACAAGGAAGAAGTCAGGATTGGATCGGGTATAAAATTGCAAAAAGAATAAGAAAAAACCAGAAAAAGGAATGAAAAGTTGCAGCCAGTGGAATATATAGCAGAGCGGGCTTGCATGCAAATCTCTGATACAACTTTATCAACCAGGTGTCACGGAAGCGAAGCCAAATTAAATCTGAACCGAAGAAGGGGAAAAATCCAGAATTGAAGCAAGAGGAAGAGTAGAGAAAGGTAGGTCTGCATGCAAAATCACTCAAAGAACTTTAACCGAGGAAGGGAAAAAACCCCGAACCGAACATAGCATCAAAATAGAAGCAGAAGGACAAAACTCAAAACCATAGTGATATATCGGACAAGGTTTGCATGCAAAATGTCTCATGGACTTTTCACCAATTGGATGTAAGACAGGTCAAAAGAAGACTCAAACCGAAAAAGGGTAGAACCCAGAATTGGAATCGGTACTAAAACGGAAGCGATAAGAAGAAGAGAGGAAGATTCACCTTCAGCAGAGTAAGAGCTACTCGTCTTTCCGCCGCTTTTGGCCATGGTTCTTTTTTTTTTAACTTTCTAGTTTCTAGCAGTGGCAAAGACAAGAGAGAGAAGAAGAAGAAGAAGAAGAAGAAAGAGGGAGAAGAAGGGATGAGAATGAGGGAGAACAGAGCTGAGAAGGATTAAATACATAACATACCAAAAGGGAAAAAGCAAGGTTGATGAGACGGGGGAGAGATTAGTGTTGAAGTTTGCTTTTGTTGGGACATGGCATCGAAGAGAGATTCGAGGGACGTGAGGAACAGAGCAAGATAGATAACGGAAGGTCCAACCAAACATACAAAATAAGCCTCATTTCCTTTGACTTCTAGTTGTCCTCCTTCCGCTTCGCCACAGCCTCACGTATTTCACAATTCCTTTTTAAGCTCTTGCTCTCATTTAATTCATGTTTCAATCTCTAAATTTCTTCTTAGCACAGCTGGCAGAAACTTTTAAGTATACGTGGATATTTTGATGGTGAAATTATCTATTATTTTAATATTTTTAAAGTTCAGAAACATGGATTTTCACCTTTTCAGTCAACCTGGCTCATGCATCAGAGAGAGTAAGCTGAGGCAGTTAACAGATATAAATATATATATATATATATATATAAGAAAGTTCAAGTACTGGCCCATCGCATCAATTGTCAATTAATAATAAAAAAAATACAATATCAGATCAAACCGATATTCACATTAGGTGCTACTGGTCAAATTTTTAGTATAATTTGTTTCCTGTCAGTTTAATTCCTAAAATTTAATTAGTTTCATCAGTTGAGCTACGTCTTTTAAAATCACCACGCTACTATTTTAGTTTTTAAAACATAAATTAACTCTTAATATGATATGCAAAGTATAATAATAATTTGATATATATATATATATAGCTAAATAAGAATAAATTGACCCTCAAATTAATTTATTTTTTATTTACATACTCCTTTATGTTGGATTTTGATTTTTTTTTAAGTTTCTGAATTTGTATTTTTTTCTACCATAAATAATTACACTTCTTTTTGTTAATTTGCATGGTTACTAATTCAATATTCTGCTACCAAAGTCAACAAATTTAAATAGTGCTACCCTCTTCTTTCAAATAATAAGGAGTAAATTGATATTAAAATAAATTTAAAAGATAAAATTAAAAAAATATTAAATTAGAGAGACCAAATTAATAATTAAAATAAACTAAATAACCAACAGATTCATTTGGCAAAGAAAAAGATATACACAGCATGCATTGTTGTCTCTAACAGTGAACAAGTATTTGAATATATAATATAGATGGAATGTTGGGAAGATTAAAACAAGAAAGATTAATGAAGAGCACAAGAATGAGGTCTGTATTATATAATAATACTCTTCCGATTCAGTATATAAGTCACTCTCTAAAAACATAATCTAATCTATTTTATAAGTCATTGTTGATGGAATTGTTTTGTTTCAAATTAAAATTCTCAGATTACTTTTAAAAAGTAAGAGAGAGAAAGATAAAAAATAATAATATGATTGATTTATTTTTTATTTTTTATTTAAGAGAGTTATGTTTAAAATTTCACTTATTTTTATTTTTTACACTTTTATTATATTGATATTAATAAAATTAATAAAAATATTTATAAATAAGTCAAAAAGGGAGGATAATGGAAAGGCAAGGGCCGGTGTTTGAAGTTGAACATGAAAGACAGCAAACAAGAGGCTTTCGGATAAAAGTTTGGTAGCACAGTACTGAAAGTCAAAAGCTGAAATGAAACTCATTAAATAAACTATTATTCCTTTTTGGCTTCTCCGCCTTCATTCCTTTGCCCTTTGGAACATTATGATTACTTGACAGAAACCTGTGGCATCTGAAAATCTGACTTGCTCTCCTTTCGAAACTCTATATTTGTGCCAAATCACGATGTTCATTCTCTTCCTCTACCTTTTTCACAGAATTATTAGTCTTAGCCTTTGGATCCTGAAACTTGATTTCAAGCTTTGTTAGGAGTGTATGAAATATCTTAACTGTGAATTTGATTAACTTATATGTACAATATTGTTCCATATGCGGATTATTGTGCGTACAGTAGAAACTAGAATAAGTAACACTTTTGGAAAATTCTTGCAGTATATGATATAGGCCAGGAAGTAACAAAAATGTCACATGATTAATCAAATATTCCTACATCACATCAATATCAGTATGCAGCTATTCTAATTCTACCACAGCTCTGTTTTATAGGTAATTCAAGCTCGAGTAAATATATATGGAGTAAATTACACAAACGTCCCCTGAATTTTTGTTTTTAACTTCATAGATCTTTTTCCTTAAAAAATTTCGGCACTCACAATCAGATGAACTGATTAATATTAAATCAGTAAAAAAAAATTTCAGCACGGTGAGTTCTGAACTCGGAATCGAACTGATTCTTGTTCTTCGTTTTTGCTTCAATAGTTTTTGGTTTATTGATGTTTTTATAAACTCGATCTGCGCAAAAATTCACGCTTTTATTTTACTTATGGTCCATCACGTTAAAAGTCACCTCTCGTAAATGTTATCATCAATATTTCTTTTTTGTAGCTGGTAGGTTAGAGTAAGAGATGATGGGTGAAAGGAAAACTTAAAATATCTATCTTTTATCATCATCATTCGGTCGAGCTTTTGTTAGTTTTCAAACCGACGTTGGTTAATGATCCGAAGTTGATCGGCAGTTCCTTTCAATTTCAGAGGACTGTTATTTTTTTTTTTTTTTTATATGTATCAAAAAAAAAAAAAAAGACTAAAGGGTTGCAAACATCTAAGCAGCATAACCAGAACCGGTCAGGCGAGGATGAGCTAAATGCTGATCCTTCAAAAATCTTCCCAAGCAGATGGGAGGAACCTGTGGAACCAACTAATCTTAGGGTTATCATTCAAAAAAGTCGGATTTTTTTCTAAATCCAAGTTGCTTGGACACCATTAGACTTGATTTTATGGCACACAACTCAGCTTCAGTAACAGAGCAATAGCCCAAATCTTGTTTAAAATCCATAATCCAATCGCCATGGCCATTACGAAGGACCCCGCCGCAAGCTGCACGCTTTTGTGGCTGAACACATCTACACGAATCACAATACTGGGTGGAGAAGTCCAAACGCTTTCCTGTGGCGCAAGCTCCTGGAAGACTTTGCGCCACAGCTCATTGTTAACAACACTTTCCAGCAGCAGATAATTGCCTTTGTGAATAACCTCGGTAGCAGATAGTGTGTTCCCTCTCGAAGACAAATTTACACCGAGAGGTCCAAAAAAACCAGCAAGACAAAGCATAAACTTTTGCCTAAGGCCACGAGCCAAACTCCATTTTGCCCGGTTGTGCTTCAAGTTTCAATTAAGCCGATCCTGTAAATTACCATGAAAAAAACTAGAAAAAGAGTTAGCATTCAAAATAACTTTACCACACTTCTCTAACTTTCTCACAATCTCTCAAATATGCATGACATGTTTTTCATAATCGCACTCAAAAGGGTACAGGGATATCCTTGACAATCCTTTTTCGACTCTGAGTGAGTTAATGACAAATCTTTCATGAAAAACTTGTCATGTGAAGAACTTAATTTTCTTTAGGATTTGCTACTTCCAAAACTTTCCTTCAAAGAGAGGAACTATTTGTCACCATTATATTAGAAATAAATGCATAGGCACTTTAACTAGGAATTCCCATCGAAAGTAGGTCTCCAGCTCAAATAGCTCTCAGCATTAGTGACAGGCAATTTGGGTATGCAAAGGCATGGTATTACCTAAGGAGGTATTAAGGCCTACCAATACTTCATATTCCAACGACTACTTGAAAGTACATGATCCATAACTTGACCAAATGAGTTTGGCACTATTTGGATCAAGAGCAAACTTAATAATTGGTCTATCTAGTGGTGACCACTTATCCCACAAAAAACCAATGGATCTTTCGTTTCTTCCCCAACCCCTTATAAAAGATCCCATACCTCTGCAATGGATCACTATGTTGAAGAGGAACCTTGAAGCCTACAAAGAATAGGAATAGGGCTATAATTACACCGATATGTAGCTCTCAAGCAAGGGCCCATATCTTTTTCAATTGAGTTACCAAACCCCAACACAATTTCAAAATGAAAGCCTCATTTTATCTTCTCAAAACATTAATACCCAAACCTCCGTCTTGTTTGGGCTTGTTGATTTGGTTCCAAGCATTAAGATGCATCTTCTTGACTTTTATATCTTGGCTCTATAGAAAACTGAAAAGTCTTAAGTCATGTCAAGCTTTTAAAAGAAGCTAAGGTGTAGTAGTGTGAGCGCCCTAGGTCATTTTATTCTCAAGGAGCAAGCATTTTGTAACCAAATCAATCGAATAATTATGACAAATTAAAATTCCAAAATTGAACTGAAGAGTTTAAAAGAGAATTTACATGTTTATATTTGATTTTAATATGAAACAAATGAAGAGAAAACATGTAGAAATCAACCAAGTATTAAAGTAGCTTCTTAAAGTTAGATTCCACCACTTCATCCATCCTTGTTCTTTTACCTAGTTTTAAATTCAATTGTCTTCTTCATCAATTGTGGGTGTGAAGCTATCTTAGTGACCATCAAACTAGGTGATAGTGATTAGAACCTATTAATCACTTAGAATTAAATGCACAAACTACCCATGTGAGATACACCAATATGTGATTCAATCCTTGAAACTAGTCCTAACTTTTACCTTGATTATATTAATACTTTAAACCAATCAAGATTATGATATTAACTAGAATTTAAGACTTAAACAATAGCTAATACAAGTCCAAACAGCAAGAAATTAAAATGAAAATATGTATTCATTCATCACAACCTTGAGACATAAATACAAACACTTAGAGTGCACAACTAATTCAAGAATCAAATGCACATCCTCTCCTCTTTAGAACATGAATTTTAGCTATAATGATTAATCTAATACCTAGAATCAATCAATAAGAGAATTAATTACATAATTAAAGAAGGAGAAGAGAGGAATTCAAAGCAATTGAAAGCAAGAGAAA